GGGAGCGGGTTGGAGGCAGCGAGCGGTACCGGCGAGGTTGAGAGAGGTAATGGTGGGGACACCTGGCAGCTGGGTACAACAAGCCGGGGGAAGGGGTTACATTCCATGGTAGGCAACGTGTTCAGCCTTAACACGGCCTTTTCAATTTTTTTTTTCCTGTTTAGCTTACTTCACTTTTTAAACAGACTTAGCTACATTAAGCCAGGCTGAGAGAGTTGGGGTTGTTCAGCCTGGACAAGAGAAGGCATAGGAGAGACCATATAATGGCCTTCCAGTACCTGAAGGACGCCTACTGGAAAGATGAGGAGGGACTCTTTATCTGGGAGTGTAGTGATAGGATGAGGGCTAATGGTTTTAAACTGTAAGAAGGTAGATTTAGATTAGATACTGGAAATAAATTCTTTCCTGTGAGGGTGGTGAGGCACTGAAAGAGGTTGCCCAGAGAAGTTGTGGATGCCCCATCCCTGGAAGTGTTCAAGGCCAGGCTGGATGTGGCCTTGAGCAACCTGCTCTAGTGGGAGGTGTCCCTGCCCATGGCAGGGGGGTTGGAACTCGATGATCTTTGAGGTCCCTTCCAGCTCTAACCGTTCTATGATTCTATAAGCCTTAAAGCAAATGTCGTTTTTCAGAATTAGCAGCCTTCATTCAATGTTGTTTGAAATTCATATCTTCAGTCAATTCAGGTTATTAATGGTGTTAATGAACTTCAGTTAGCCATCAGGAGTTGCAAGATGCAACTATGGCCCTCCTCTTCCTTCTTTGTTTGGGATGACACATATTCTGAAAATGCAGCACTTTCAATAATTTTGTTGGGTTTTCCCCAATTGCTTAATATACCAAAATGTTGAGGAACTGTCCTCTGCATATGGACTGGAGCTTTGGTGACTAGGCTCCACTGAGAAGAGACGAGCACCAGAGCATAGCTGGGGAAAGCAGTTCACACCAGACATCTCCTGAAGGAAAGGCTGGGAGCTTTAGGCATCAACTCTTCTCACTGTCACTGAAGGTAGGACAGGGACAAATTCTACAAATTCCACAGACAACACGTCTTCCTGAGGATGCAGGGTGTGATGAGTCCATGTAATGAGCAGGATTTCATAGAAAAATACTTGTAAAGAAGAGCTGGGGTTAGATGAAGAAGCTTGTTTCATTTTGCTTAGATCAATGGTGCCTTAGATGCTTTGGAGCCAGCATCTAGTGGAACACAAGAATAGTTCTTTTGCAGTTTTTCACCCAGGAAAAAAACATGAGGCATTTATCTGCCTTGCTTAGTGGAATATCTTTCACTTCCTCAAATGTTTAAGTACCCCAAATGATGTTCTCTTCCTAGCTTATACTGCCTGTAAGAATGAATTCACCTTTTCTTCTGGTCTGGATGTTTGAGGTCAATCAAGAAGAAGAGAAAAATTGTCCTGAAGTTAATGCTAGGGGTGTGATAGATGGGAATATTGTTTGTCTATGAAAAGACACCTAGCGGTTCACATCCACAGGGAGTGTTCTTTGCCAATGTGACTTAGCAATGTCTCAACAGAAAGGCTAAAAATGTTGACAAGGTTGGAAACTGAAGCCCAACTTATCCCTAGGCATGTTACATGTTGGCAGTGGAGGGTTAGTAAGCTTGTTGTGGTGCTTGTTGTGTGAATAGTTAGCAGTGTAGAGATAAATGGAGGTCTGCATCTGTCCACCCAACACCTCTGACAAATGACATGTTCTTCTGGATAAAAATTAGCGAGATGCTGAATTTTCAAGCACCAAAATGTAACTGCAGGCAAGGGAATTACCTCAAAATGCCTATTCCCATTCCGCTTAGAGCAAGTTCATTTATTAGGAGAAAATACTGTGTGACTTACAAAAGAAAAACACTCAATTTATATCTGTAACTGTTTATTTAAACTGCATATTGCATACAACTGAGTAGTGTCCAGTAACATACTGAAAAACTAAACAGGATTGATTAGTAATGACTTAGGAGCCACAACTAAGTTAAAAACTTAATTCCCAAAGTGCATTTTTATAGCTGTGCTTAGCTGGAAAAGTCCCTGAAATCTATGTATATTTCCTCAGATACCACTATTCCAGTTATATAGTTCTAGAACTACACCGGATCTGTCCAGTGTCTCGTGGACCAAAGGCAAACTCCTATGCTCTTACCAAGAAAACCTAGACTATAGCAAGTCTGAGGAACAAGCGTGGGGAGCTGAACAACAAAGAACTTCTCAGTCACATCAGTTTTGTCATATTTTTGAGAAAATGCCAAAAAAGGAGGTTATCTTAATTCAGATTGCTCAATCTCTCCTTTATTGTGTGCTTGTGCAATACCAAACACTGGCTTAGTAGGAATGGCAGGTTGACATATGCAGGTTTAAGAGAATGATACTTCCTTGGAGAGAAGGAGGCAAATTGTGTCTCCCCAGGCAAAATGATTAAATTGCATCTTGAATAAGGCTAATAGTCCCTGAAGCTGGAAGACTCTCCAGGAATTTGCTGATCAAAATGCAACTGATTTGAAAATGGGAGCACGGGAGCACCATAAACTAGTGTTGATATAAGTTTGGCCATGCATCCTGCTAGTAGAGAAATGTTGGATTTCAAGGGTTTGACAATTCAAGCATTTTATTTTCACCTGTGTTCAACAAGATTGAATGTAGAAATCCAGCACTGACAAAGCCATTACCTAAACTCCTGTTAACTTCACCTTAACCAGAATTTCATATTATGCTTCTAATTGGTTTAGGATTTATTATTATTATTATTTTTTCTTTGAACTCTTTCTCTCTTTATTTATATGTATGTCTATACATGTTTCCTAGGGAGATAAGAACATTACTGTGACATATTGCACTATTCATTTCATGTTTGTAATTTATGTATCCAAATGGGACTTGTTCTAACGATGTAATTCATGTCTCAGTAGGAAAAAGCACAAGTAATTGGCAAAAGAAAGGGGAGAGGAGAGGTGGTGGGAGAGGTGAGGTCTCTTTGCCTTTTGATTTATGTTGTGAAGGGAGGAGGCTGTTGTCTCACAAAGGTGCTTGACAGAACAGACTTGTCCTGTGCCTGCTTCTGCCAACTCCTTCCCTATTCCTAGCACGCGGGGTTGGAGGTTGTTTTGCCCTGTGATACGGATATGGTCAATCCCAGCAAGTTTAATAGATTATTCTTTTAAAAAAGAACTAAGCGTAGAGTTAGGGGAATGACTATTTCAATGAATCACATCAATGTAACAGCATTTATGTCAAATCTATTTCAAAACACAGCAAATAATAATTCTGATAATTTCCATGGATCTGGATTTTGGGGGCCTTTGTCTTCTTTGCCACATTACAGGTTTCTGTGAACACCAGAAGCTGGCTGGAGGTACCAAGAAGCAGTTAAAATGGTTACACTTCTCTGCCTGATATATAAACATAGCCACCCCCAAAAATCACTCCTGTTCTATATTCTCATGTACTAGTTATGAGTCATGTAAATTACAGATTATTAGGTGAAAAACAGGTTAGAATTTTTTTAAACTGATGATAACACTGAAGAGTAAATAAAATCATCTATGAGTCTTTCAGTCTGTTTTTTTCTGCTTTCAGCATTCCAAAGATGTAAACAACAAATGAGCAATTTTAGGATAAGGAAATGAAACAGACTAGCTGTAATGCTGAAAAGAGTTAAACATATTGAGGGAGGAGGATGTTAAATCTAATCTTACCACGGCGCATATTTAGCACAAAGTTGAGCACTTGGTTTATGAAAAAGAGGCTGCCTCTGTTCAAAATTTGTGCCTGACCAGCAAATACATATCTTGCAAAAGAGTCTTTGGAGTAGATATACCTATCTAACATTCTAATAGAATAACAACTTACTAATATTCTTTTGTCAGAAAGTAGCATATAGGCGTGTATACCGTGTGAACGCAGTGTTTGCCAAATGTTAACTGAACCAATATGTAAAAGAAATCTCTTAGATACGTAATCATTAAATAAGGAGGTTTAGTCTATCCAGCTGTGATTTTGCACATGTTGTCAAATAGTAAGTACAACACCCAGGGTAAGATTTTGTTTTGACTGTTGCAGTTTCTTTATAAAAAAAATAATATGTAGTATCGTCTCTGCTAAGGGTCCAGGAAGGATATTAAAATAACAGTAATAATAATAATTATATCTTTGTGGCTAACTGCTAAGCCTCAGCTCACTGAAGAAATATGCATTTCACTAGTTTTTAAAAGAAAACATATTGAGAGAGTGGTGT